AATAATAAATAATAATAAATATTAACAATAATAATAGAAAAAAATATTAATAATAATAATAACAATATTAAATACATTAGTATAAAACAGTATAATCTATATATTTTTTACTGCTATAATCAAAATAAAACATTTATAGCAAATAGTGATTATCATAAATAAAAATTCAAAATAAAAATATAAGAATCATAATAATATCAATAACAAAAAAAAGAACAGATAAAAAAAAAAAAAATAATGGATAGAAGTTTAACGACTAAGAAAGAAGAGACGAAGTAGGAGAGCTTTATGCAACAGAACTTTTAATAATAGAATTTTCGAACATAAAAATATTAAATTTGCATTAAAGTGAAATAAAGAAAATTAAGAAAAAAAAAAACAAATGGTTGAAGAGAGTTAAGCAGGGGCGACTGGATAGAAAAAAGTCGTAATCTTTTTGAAAATTAGGGTATTTGATTGCGACTAGATGAATATTTATATCTTTTTATGTTTAACTTTTAGAGTTTTATACTTTTATTTTTAGAGTTTTGTATTTTTATTTTTACTTTATGAGTTTTATACTTTTAGTTTATTAAAAATTTAGTTATAAAGAATAACTAGTGGGAATTTGCATAAAAGATAGTTCATTAATTATCTTTATTAAGGAGAAAGTTTTTTACATGTGTTACGAAGGCATTTCTATTTGTCATTTTGGATAGTATTTTTTTAGTTTCAACAGGAAGAGAGTTCGAACAGAGAATTAATTGATACTTGATTGATTTTATGCCATACTTATGTGTTAGTTTTAAAAGCTTAGACTACAAAAAGATACAGACCTAAGTTTATAACTATGAATATCATTTGTGAATTTAAAATAGCTATTAAAGCAGCTGGGCATTTTATTGTAGACAATGTCCCATACAAGTACACAGTTTGACAAATGGATAAGTTTGTCAAACTTTAAAAACAAAATAAACATAAGCAGTAATAGTGCAACAAAAAGTTTAATTAACAAAAAATTAGTACAAAAAATTAAGAAATATATTATTTTTTTACTTTCGGGACTGAAATAATGCTTTCTTGCCATTACGGTGTACTATATCAACTTTTTTGTATACATGTTCGCACATGCCTTGAACAAGATTTTTACCAACTTTTCTTTAACAAAAATGGATTCTTTTTTGAAGCTGATCTTCATTTTCAGCTTTCCAATTATTTTCATACACGTAACATTTAAGGATTGATTTTAAGGACCAGAAATTTTCTATTAGTTGTAATTCTGGGACACATGCCGGATTATTAACTTTTGTTACATAAGGGATATTTTTCTCGTCAAGGTAATTGGTTACACTTCTAGCATAATGTGAAAAGGCCAAGTCAGGCCAGAACACATTACTATCACTGTGATGTTTGTTGATTTTTGTTTACTGTTTAGTTAATTGGCAGTCTTGCAGAAACAATAAATGGATTTGAGGGGATATGGTAATTCACACAAGGGGATATGGTAATTCACACAAGAATATTTTTTTTCAAAGATGCTTTTGCGCTTATATTTTACATTTTTTGGTGCATTTTTTGCTTCATCTGAGAAAAATCCAAAATTAGAATTTTTATTTGTATGTTTAAATGTAAAATACGATTCATCCTCAATGACAAAGTCATGGTTTCTGAAGTTGCAACAAATTTAGAAACCGTGACACTTCACACTTCCACACTTCAGTTGCAACTGCTTTTACAGTTTATCAGTGCAATCAGGGATTCGTTTTTTCTTAAAATAACAAATGTTTGTTTTGTTTTTTAATGTTTTTACAATGTAGGAATGATGACACTTGAATTTATTTGCAATTTTTCTTGATGAAGTTTCAGACCGGTTGTTCAAAAGACCTCTTAGGCAATTGATGTTCTTAGCAGTCATAGTTTTTGATTTTCTATCTGATCCAAGTTTACGAGACTTTGGCTTATTGTTCTTCCATTTTGCCATCTAACGTTTAATGGTTCTTTTAGGGTAATTAGAGGCAACAAAATACTCTACGGTGCTCTTCGTTTTAGCGTTACTATGCAAATTACAATAGTTGTACACTTGTTCAGTTAATGTAGTTGGCTTCATTTTTTGATAACTTTTTTATTAATTAATCTAAGTAAACAAAGCTTGCAGTAAAAGATAACTAACACTTTATAAACAAAACAACTAAAAAAATAAGACTGGATAACTAAAAATTCATTAGGTTTTAACTTTTCAAAGATTGTGCCAAATTTTTGTCACCAGAGGTTATACATATATATAGAAACACTCTACATAATGAATTCACCAAAATTCAATATTAGATTTAAGAAAAAAGATTTTTAAGTATATATTACCAAAAATACAATTAATTAAATTACTTTTATAATCTTGAATATTATTTAGATACCTGGTTAAACTTGTATAACTACCTCATAAATTCTCATAGTTTTATTTGATGTTTTCTGTCTTTCGTCCGAGGCTGACGAGTTTGTTTTGCATGAAGATAAACAGGATTAATCCATTTTACAACAAATAATGAAACTCCCTATCCAAACCAAAAACTTTAGCAGATGAATGTAAACTCCGTTGCACCTACCTTTATTTAAACCAATCAACTTGCAGACACTACACAGTGTGCTGAGGAAAAATACATAATAACCTCATCAGCATGCATACATAACTGCATGCATTGCATTGCATTTATCAAACAAAAGTCATAATTTTTAATTTAAATGTTGGGGGGCGTCATAGTCATAACCAGAGACACTAAAACTATTCGTTAACAAAAAGGTCAATATTTTATAATTAAATAATATATACTAATAATTATATATTAAATAAAATATAAAAGTATTACACATAAATAACTATGGATGAATTAACTTATATTTATGTTATCTTTTATGAACCGGATGTAATTGAAGAGATCAGAACTCCTATTTACCAAGAACGACATTTGCAACGTTTCTGCAAAAAAAAAAGTCTTTTTTGTAGTTACTATAGTTTGCACGAGTGTGCACGTGGCGAGTGGTGTAAAATATTTAGAAAATTTGACCCAACTCAGGTACTACCCTGAAATGTAAATCGGGTTAAAAGCCACACCCAATTTTAGCCGTTTTATATCAGTTACAAAGTTTTTGATCTGAGCCTGCAATTTATGTTGTGTGTGTTTCTGTTACTAAATCTTGTAAAATCAAAAATAGCCAATAGAACGCGACAAGATATTATATTTACTATTGAACAAAGAATTGTCCACAAATAAAGTTATACCCATTTTTAAACTAAAAGTTAAAAAATGGGTTGAACCATTTTAATCCAAAAGTTAAAGAGCTATAAAAAAATTATTTAATACTTTTCTTCATGAAACCGCTAAAAATAGCCACTGTCCCAGGAATCATTTTGTATAACATGTATCATTTAGATGGTTGAAGTTTTAAAACTCAAATTGATTTTTAAAAAATTAAAGATACAATGTTTTATAATTTTAGTTACTTATTTCAATATGATAAATTTAGTAAATTCCTTAAAGTTTTATATTAAAAGAAAAATTTTGAAATCAAATGGAAGCTTTGAAATTGCATATAAACATTTTTTTAATTAAACTAAATAACTTAAATTTTCTTTGAATTACCCGCTTCATTACGCTATAAAAGTAGGAAAATTTAATGTAAGGACACTTTTCACTGGATTTTACTAAATAACAAAAAAAAAAAAAGAACAAAACAAAGAACATGAGAAACAACAAAAGAAAAATCAAAAGAAACAATAAAAGAAGAAACAAAATAAACAACAACAAAAATCAAGAGAAAGAACAAAAGAAAGAAAAAGACAAAAGAAAGAACAAAAAAAGGAACAAAAGAAATAGCAAAAAAGGGAACAAAGGAAAGAACAAAAAAAGGAACAAAAGAAAGAACAAAATAAAGAATATAAGAAAGAACAAAAGAAAGAACCAAAGAAAGAACCAAAGAAAGAACAAAATAAAGAACAAAATAAAGAACAAAATAAAGAATAAAAAAAAGAACAAAATAAAAAACAAAAAAAAGAACAAAAAAAAGGACAAAATAATGAACAAAAGAAAGAACAAAAGAAAGAACAAAAGAAAGAACAAAAGAATGAACAAAATAAATAACAAAATAAATAACAAAATAATGAACAAAATAAAGAACAAAAGAAAGATCAAAAGAAAGAACAAAAGAAAGAACAAAAGAAAGAACAAAGAAAGAACAAAAGAAAGAACAAAAAAAAAAACAAAAGAAAAACAAAAGAAAGATCAAATGAAAGAACAAAAGAAAGATCAAATGAAAGAACAAAAGGGAGAACAAAAGAAAAAAACAAAAGAGAGAACAAAAGAAAGAACAAAATAAACAAAAAAAAAAAGAACAAAAGAGGACAAAAAGAATAAAGTTTACCTAAAGCAATAAAAAATATTTGCTAATTATGCATTAAAAAAAACGACCCCTTTAAAAAGTCAAAGTAAAAGCAGAGCCTAACTCAAGCGCGAAATTGGATGACGCACCGTCTCACCTGATAAAAAACGCGAGATAGCGTAGCATCTGTGCATAAAACTTAATAATGAAATAGTTACTTTTTGACTTTTTATATATTCTAAGACACATAACAAATTAAATTTCTGTAAATAATCAGCTATTGAGTATCTTATGATGCCGAGATGTAAGCTGATTTTAAATGAGATTATCCTTAAAATGTGCACGATAACGTAGGCGATATAACTTAATTCATAGTGTTAAAATAGAAATTTTCTTCAAAAAAACTCCTAATGCAGTTACTTTATTTTTTTCATAACTATTGAATTCAGAACATCCTTTTTATGTGTTAATGTTTAAATAATAAGTTTATTACTATAATTTGAACAACCCTGCAAAAAAAAAATGTACATTTTTTTTTTGCAGGGTTGTTCAAATTATAGTAATAAACTTATTGGGTTGTTCAAATTATAGTAGTAAACGTTGCACCGCGGCTGTTTACAACTGAATGCAGTTGTAAACAGCCGCGGTGCAACGATCAAAAGTATTGATTTTGGAATTAAAACGCTTAAGAACGTCAACAGTGAAAAAGGCAGCCAGAATATATGTAAATCATAATGTTAGTATTTTTTTCTATAAACTTAAAGTTTTTTAATTTATTTTATTCCTCCGACTAAGGATTTTTAGTCAAATTTTAATTAAAAGTTTAAATTTTTAAAAGAGTTGTTGTTAATGTTGTTAGTGTAACTTACATGCCTGTAGGAAAAAAAATTATGTTGGGGAGGACCTTATTTTTTTTATTTTTTTTTTTTAGTTATTTTTTCTACAAAAAAATAGCTCTGGGCCCCGATCCGTTACTGTTGGGGGGGGAGCAATACTACTACTGGGTAGGTCAAATAGTAGTAGGTCACAAATTTTTGTCAAAGGAACTTACGCCGAAAATACGGATAACAAATCAGATCTTTTCAACCTTTTTTTTTTCTTTTATATCTTAAGTTTTAATCGTTTACTTTTTTCTAAAAGCTAAATTCAACATTTTTTATTTGAAAAAATATTGGGTAGGCAAATATCCCTGTTGTCCCCCCGGTTTCTACGGGCCTGACTAACAGCAACTCTCTTAAGGTTAAACTTATTCACTTTCGTTTTTAAAATATTATAATAAAATTTGCAATAAAAAAACGACTTTAATCTTTTTTATCTGAAGCAACTTATTAAAAATTTAAAAATGATTTTAGACTAGATGGCGATGTCTACGATGTTAGTTCGTTAATCCTAAAAATATTTATTTTAACGAAATTCTTTTATAAATACTGCAGCAACTTATCAAATTTTTTTTTAATGTTTTAGACTAGAAACGATGTCTTCTACGATCTACGATCTACGATGTTAGTTTATTAATCCTAAAATATTTATTATTTCGGTATTCTTTTTAAATACCTCGAAACAAAAGCTTGAAAAATTTGTAACTCATAAAAATAAAATAGTTTAATTACATTTGAAGGAAAACATATTTAACTTAACCTAAACATTTTAAAACCTAAAAATATTTAATAAAAAGCAGTTTATTACTGCTCTTAAAATGCTAATCTTAACCCTAAAAGGATTAATTAGATATTTTAATACCTAATATTAAAAAAGTATGGATAAAAAGGAGAACAGCGAGAGTTTCCCGCTAGGCAAAGCAATAAACCAACCAAAAAAAAAAAATCTACTAAATATTAATTACATTCAAAATGCGTTAACAATATGCGTTATAAATAACACGTTGTTTGTAATTAATGCGAGAGAGTTTGACACTAAATTTAAATAAAAGTAAATGTCAATAAAAAGTAAAAGAAAGTAATTGTAAATACAAGTAAAATATTAATAAAAGTAAATGTACATGCATAAAAATTTACATTATACAAAATATTATAATGTCTCATGCACGATGTCAACATTAATATATCATTAATATAATAATGTATTTATGATTGTTATAACAATATATATATGTATATATATATATATATATATATAAATATATATATATATATATATATATATATATATATATATATTGTATATATAAGATGAAATCTATTTACTTAATTATACCTTCGTTAGAAATTTACTTTTAACAAATTGCAATAATTTTTAACATAACTTTTATTAGATTATTTTGGAAAGATTTTAAACGCTGCGCATCATTATTGAGAAACTCTGCGCATCATAAGAAAATGGGTCTTCGCAAACTAAAAATATGTTCTGGATAAGTTGGAGCATCAGTTGCCATTAATTGGGGACTGGTACTTCGGCTTTTCCAGAGAGTTGATTTTAAAGTTTGTTTTTATTCAAGTAAAGAGTTTATGAAAAGTTTTATTTTAATCGCGACGTAACGAAGGTCAAGGAATAGTAAAGGAATCAACAAAAAAGCAAGAAACTTTATAATTTTGTTTTTGTTGTAAAGTAAATTCCAAGTTTGAAGGGTTTTATGATATGAGTTTATTTATAATACATTTTGTCAGTATAAAAACATGAAAAATTTCTTTATTTTGTTAAAATCTAAAACTATTCTATGGCATGGAAAACAGCGTTAACTCATTAAAAATACTATTTATTTATAACTAACAATCATAATTAGTGAACTTTCAGTTGACTAGTATCAACATCTTGAGCAGTCTCTAGGGTTTTTTACTTATTTCTTATTTTGTGACCCAATGCTATATGCATCATATTTTTCGACAAAGAAGTTTGCATATATTATTATTATAAAAGTTATATTTATATATTAAACTTAGGGGTTCATTATAATATATATATATATATATATATATATATATATATATATATATATATATATATATATATATATATATATATATATATATATATATATATATATATATTATATATTAAACTTAGGGGTTCATTATAATATATATATATATATATATATATATATATATATATATATATATATATATATATATATATATATATATATATATATATATATATATATATATATATATATATATATATATATATATATATATATATATATATATATATATGTATATATATATATATATATATTAAGCTTGGGTTTTTTTTTTAATTACTTAAGCTAAGTCGAAAAAATTGCAATAAAAGTAAAAAAATGACAATAAAGATTTATTGTTTACTGAAATTTTATCTTGGGTATTAACTGTTATAAAACGGATTTAAATGTTAATAAGTTGTTTCTAAATTTTTTTAATTAAATCTTAATTTATTTTTTAAATCTGTAGTAAATAATATATTTGAAATGTATGAATATAAAATAACAATAACTTGATATTTTAGCCATTGAACAAACCCAATACAAAATCTTTGAGAAAATATATGTATTTTTTGTTCATAATAAATAATCTATAATATAAACACACATGTCACTAGTTCAGTAGCGGATTAAGGCTTCTTGGGGCCCGGGGCTATTTTTGTTTTTGGAGGCCTTTTTAGGGGCCAGAGTCTAAAAATGATTTAAAAAAAAAGGTCCACTAAAATTTTTGGGGGCCCCTGAATTTGCGGGGCCCGGGGCTATAGTCACCCCTAGCCCCCCCCCCCCTCCCCCTCTTGATCCGGCACTGCACTGGTTCGATGAATCTCTGATTCTCTAAAGCTGTAAAGAACAATCGCAATAACGTAAATAAAAAATTATTTATAAATTTTTATCAATTTTTTTCAGAAATTTGAGTACTTTAAATTATTTGTCTAATATAAACACTCATTAAATTCCATTTAATCAACATTAGTAAGAAAAATATTTAATCAACATTGCTGTAACTGAAATGGAAATTGCTGTAACTGAAGCGCCATGGCTTCTAATCTGCTAAGTAACCCAACATAAATTTTTGTGTAACAGATTTAGCTACATTTTGATCCAGTTTAGAAATAAAGACATAACATAAACTGTGCAATATACTAGATAATTGAAAATGATTGTACAACATTTTAGCATTCAGTTTTAAAAAATTTTACAAGTATTAAAAGTGCAAAGCAATGCAAAAAAGTCTCTAAACAATTTAGTATGCAAAAGAAAGTTTTGTTAAATTATAGAGAATAAGAAACAAAGTATAAATAATGCAGATACACCAAAAAGACAATCACGTCATGCCACAGAGAACCGGTGTTGGTGAAATTAAAACTTTTTCAACAAAAGTTTTTAAGTTTAATATATTTTTTTGCTGTTGCTTGCATCCATTAAACTAATGAGTATTGATAACCGCTGAAAAATGTGAAATCTATAAATTTCTAAATAAATTTTTAAATACCACGTAAAATTACAATAGAATGCGGATAAAAACGTCCATTATTTTCATAGTAAATATATCGTCTTGCGCCCACTTAATCTTATTTGTCGGATATAATCATTGGAATCTTATTTGGCAAATACGATTATTAAAATCTTATTTATCGAACATAATAAAAATATATTTGTACCGGTGTACTTTCAAACATAACAAAAGCATATTTATACTGGTGTACATCTAAATATAATAAAAATATATTTGTACTGGTATACATCCAAGCATAATAAAAATATATTTGTACTAGTATACTTCAAAATACACGTTCGGTGTACTTCCAAATACATGTTTGGTGTACTTCCAGATACACGTCTGGTTTACTTCCAAATACACATCTTGGGTCGATATTATAAAACTTTTTATCAGCGTATAATGCTACCGGCGGTAAAATTTACCGGCGTAAATGACTTTTTTTCAATGCTATAAAACATTTTTAAAAGTTACCGACCATAAATTTCTACAGTCAAAACTTTATTGTCTATAAATGTTCCGGAGGAGCGACCTACGTAAACTTCTGTTGAAGATCCAAAGATATTGATATGTAGTTGTAGAAACCTATGGTTTCTACAACTACATATTCACAACAGATCTTTTCAATATACTTACCTTGAGTTAAAAACTTATTACAAATTCAATTATTTTAATTAAGTGTACATTTCTCGATAAACTTTAATTTCAAGCAATTTCATTGTTGATATTTTTCTACTGAATTTGTCATGTAAGAAATGTAATTCTTAAAATTTAAAACTGCTCTCTTTAACTATTTTTCAGAAAAATATTGCTTATAAATCTTATAATTTCATTCAACTTATTATTTATAACCCTAATTCTGAGCTTCTATTTATCTAATTTTTTTCTTTTCTGTTGTGATTTAATTTTTTTTTTTAACTTATTAAATTTAACAAAAATATTAAAACACAACAGAAAAGAGGAAAAAATTTAGACAAATAGAAGCTCAGACTTAGGGTTATAAATAATAAGTTGAAGAAAAGTATAAGATTTATAAGCAATATTTTTCTAAAAAATTGTTAAAGTCATGAAATCATATGAAATGCTTGCAAATTTTCCTGCCGCTCGCCCCAATTTCATCTGTTCTCGTAGCACCTTCCTAATTTGTACTGTCTCAACGCAAAATTTTTCATTTATAAAGATATTCTTACTTTTTAGGTTAGGGGTCTTTTAAATATCTACTTTATCGTTAAAGTTTAGAAGTTTTTTAATTATAGTTCTTGGTCTAACTGAATCTTTTTGACTAGTTCTTTGTGCCCTTTCAATTTTCATATATTTTATACCTAAATAATTGTCAAAAATATATTTTACCTTTGCTTCGCTGTCATCCCAATTTTCATCTTCGCTTTCTTTAATTCCATCAATTCTCAAATTATTTTGCCGGGATCGATCCTCTATATCTCTTAATTTGTTTGTAACTTTAGTAAGTGCAGATTCATTGTTTTAGATAATGCTTATTGTATTACATTTATCCTGTGAAATAATGACGTTCCTAATTTTTTCTTCAATAAGTTATTTTTGAAAATTTAAACTCACTTTAATGACCTCAACTTCTTTTTCTATCGATTTTATTTTCTTACTATTTCCACTGATATATAATTCAACTTTATCCAAACGCTCGTATAAAATTTTTGTGCTTGAACTAATAGTGTTTTACTGAAACTGAAGACATGATTAAACAGCAAGAAAAATATTTTTTTCTTGCTGTTTAATTATGTCTTCAGTTTCCTTCTTAATATTTTTAGTCAAACAAGTAGTCATTAAGCGTTCAAAGCAGATCAAAATACTTGCTACATTGTTGCAGTAAAGTTTATAGCAATGCAGCCCACGTAAACCCTAATTTTTTGTGACTTGACTGGGCCAAAGAGATAACTGACTGCTTCAAATGTGAATTAACCCCGGAACTCACATCTTTGTTCAAAGATGACATAATGAGATAACCCAACAAAGCAGAGTATTGTAAAGAACTAATAAAAGGTTTTACAATTTTAACAGAGTATTTTCTGTTGTCTCTGACACAACATATATTCTTGACTATGGAGCTTTGCCGTTTTTTTAAAATCTACCTGCCACATATTCAAATATCATGGAACAACACAGTACATTTGTTAAAAAAAATATGATAATTATATCTTCATTATTTTTGATGGTTACAAATCACCCATTAAAGTTCACAAACATCAAAGTAGAGAAAAAAGGTTCGCTAACATTGTATTCCAGCCGAAACAATTAACTAAAAACAATCAGAATTTCTGTCAGAAAGTAGTTATAAAACTGCTTTGATTAAAGCATTTAGAATGAAGAGGAAATGATCATTTGATCAAATGATCAAATGATCATGTAGTGGAATCCAATAAGAAACTAACAAAACAATCGCTAAGAAAGGAATTGAACTTGTACAAAACGTAAAATATGCAACTATTAATGCTGATTTTTACAGATATTTTTGTGAAGATGTTAGATCAAACCATTTGCCATTTGTCATCTTTTTTTAACGGCGCAAAGCGAAGAAGAGTATTAATAAAGATTTGGAAGCAATCAGCATAAAAAACAATCCATTAAGTCTCGCGAAAAAAAGTTTGTTATTTATTCATTCATGAAGTGGATGTGATACTACATTTACGCTTTTTAGTCAAGTAAAGACAGCTTTACTGAAGTTTTTATCAAATAGTGAGTTTGCCTATAATATATGTGCAGTTTTTCGAAATCCCTTTGCAACACAAGATCAAGTAACTAGTGTTGAAATACAAGTCATTTTGATTATGTATGATACGCAAGACAATAATTATGTTCTTTTATTTTTGTTACTAATTTTGTTATTATTATTATTACTAATATTATACATTTATATTTTTTCGCAAAGGTTTCGCAAAGGTTTCATTTAACTCAACTATTTTTATAAGTAAGAAAAGTAAGCAGATGCCACTTTTAGGCACATTTAAGAAAACAAAAATATTGTATACTTTTATCGGTTTAAATTTTTTTTTTTATTTTTAAAATACTTATTATTAAAATGTTTATAATAGTTTCCGTTTATAATCATTTTTCTATTATTTAGTTTTTTATTTAATAAAAATAGATTTTTTTATTATAAATTTTTTAATAAAATAAAATTTACATTTCTTTTTTTTTTTTGTCATTAAAATCAAATCTTTCTTTGACTGATTAGTAGACATCAATTCTCTCGATAAGTCCTGCCCTCTTATAAAACCATCTCTTTTTTCTTGAGAATAAACTTTGCTTGCTGCTTCTGTTACCTGTTTAACTCGTCTTTTCGATCGACTGTTTATGACAAAGCCAATTTGGAACAATCATAGGCTGAAATATTATCTATTTTACTTCTTCTGTTGTCAGATCACAAGTAAGAATAGGTTCATAGGATATATTCCAGTCGGTTAGCTTTATAAGTGTTTTTGCATCATGTTTTATTTCTGGAGTTATTCTAGCTCTCCCATTTTTATCACCAGTTTGAAGTTTTTCATCACCAGGACCTCTGATTTTCACAATTAACTCTATACCGTTCTTTCTTTCCTCTATATTCTCTGAGCAGAACATGGTCTGTATAATGCACTCAGAGAAACCATACTACGTTGAACGTTGAACTGTTGGCATAACAATTTCTACTACTTCACTTGATTGATGTTTCAGAAGGCTAAGCTGGTAAAGAATATGTCTCGGTCCTTCAGTAAACCTGTGCTCGACTCCAATTTTAAACCACATAGGCATGTAAACTCCAACAATGAACTCAATTATTAATTTAATGTTTTTTAAATTTTCGCCTTTTAACTGATGTTTTGAGACCCAAACTCTGCAAAGTCTGTTGGCTGTTGTCAACCGTCTGGAATGATTAATTGGCCCAATTTCAAGTAAAGCCAAGTCTGCGGGTATATTTTCGCTTCTAATAGCAGACACTATTTTATACCCATAAAACTGATCGGAGGATAAATTTTTTTGATTACTTCATCCTTTAGAGTAATAAGCGGATTTCCGACATCAATTTTTTCAAAGGATGGATTAATTTCTAGCGCAGTTGCGTCATTTAATAATTTTCTAATGCTGCCTTTCCATTTGATGCTGCTCAGAGTCTCATTAGTATGGAGTACGCAAACCAGCCAGTTTAGCTTTCTTCCTAACTTTACTTCCAGCCAATGTATTACTCCGCCTGACTACCCTTTGTTAATACTAGTAGAATCACAACCGATCGCTGTTTAGCTTTTATTGGCACCATTACTTTTCAAAAAAGTTACTTCAGCGTGTTTCATATGTTTTTGAACTTTTTCAAGTGTGAAATGGAAAAGATACCTACCATCGGGCTCTTGACATACTGTATAATGTTCCTCTTTGATTGTAGCAGGATAACATTTAGACGAACCTTCGACTACTTATTGAACTTTTGTATTATCAATTCTGCCATCAAAAAAAACACAATCAATAATGGTAGACCTGCATTGAGTATCAAACTCTCTAGAAAGTAGATAATTTTTTCTTGAGCTCTCTTGACTTTGTTGTGTTCAATAACCAACTTGGTATCATCTACTTTAACTATTCCTGCGTCCATCCAAGCTGCCGTTGCAATTGCAGCTGTTTCCCGTAAGCCTGTACCATACCGTATGCTTGCTAACGCTATGTTGGAAATACTTTAATAATTCCTTTGTCTTCGTAAACGTTTCTGATCTTCATTCTGCCGACACATTAGATTGAGTTCAGTATTGCTGTTTGTTGTGAAACATTTTTTTCTAAATAGTACATCTATTTTGCTAAATTCAAATTCAAACTTTTCTTTCTGACTTTTAATTGTTTGTTGCAGTTCTTCAGACGGTCTTTGCTTTAGCTGTGAATAAAGTAATTGAATTTTCATTAATTGATGTTTTGTGAAATATTGTAAGTACATTTACTTATATAAGTAAAATATAAATAGTCGTATGTAAAAAATGCTTATTGTATTACATTTATCCTGTGAAATAATGACGTTCCTAATTTTTTCTTCAATAAGTTATTTTTGAAAATTTAAACTCACTTTAATGACCTCAACTTCTTTTTCTATCGATTTTACAATGATCTATAAATAGTCGTATGTGTTTAATTATGAATATTTTAAGTACTTGTTGAAATAATTTGAATGTTTATTTAAAGATTTATTTAAATTTTATTATATACGTTTGAAAGAAATTTTAAAATGGAAAAACTTGAATATCGAGCATATATTAAAACTCGTGCTCTATTTGGAGTTTCAGCACAAGCCATAACCGATGAATTGGTTTTAGTTCATGGTGACCAAGCTCCAAAATATAGTACAGTTGCCAAGTGGGCTACTTTATTTAAAGATGGTAGAGAGAGTCTTAAAGATGATCCTCGCTCAGAGCACCCCAAAACCACGTATACAGTTGAGAATATTGAACGTGTGCAAGCCATTATTGAAGAAAATCCGCATGCAACACATGATATAATTGAAGCCTTGACATCAATTAATCGTTTTACAGTTAACGAAATTATTCACAACGCACTTAAAAAAGGAAAACTAACATCACGTTGGATACCCTACGAGTTAACCAATGAAAATCGAAATAATAGAGTTGAGGCATGTAAGGAAAATTTAGCTCTTTTCAGAAACGGCCCATGGAGGTTATGCAATATTGTTACAGGAGATGAGTCATGGTTTTATTTGAGACAAGTCAGCTAACGCTAGTTGGGTTGGTGAAGGTGAAAATCCAAGAACAATAGTAAGATGCGATAGGTTTCAGCCGAAAAGCATGTTCTACATCTTCTTCAAATCAGCAGGTGTTGTTCATTTGGGTTATATTGAAAAGGAAGACACCATTACTAGCAAATGTTATATAAAAATTGTTTGAAACCTCTTACATGCGAATTAAATAAGGAAAGACCTAAAACAGACACTCACAATTTCAAATTTCTTTATGATAACGCTCGACCCCATGTAAATCAAACCGTCACAAATTGTATAAACCAAGCTGAAATTACAATAGTTCGTCACCCACCATACTCACCAGACTTAGCTCCATCCGAATATTGGCTATTCAACTTAATAAAAAAAAATCTTGATGACGATACTGACGTCGAAAGCCAAAAAACCCGCATAACGAAGTTTCTTGAAAGTATACCCAAAAAAAAGTGTAAAATAACGTTTTACAAATGGCTTGAAAGGATGCAACTTTGTATAGATAATGATAGACATTATTTTGAACATTTAATAAAATAAAATTAAAAAAACTCTTTTTTTTTATAAGGAAGTTCTACGAACATTTCTAACGACCTTAGTAAGTACTAATTAAAAACATAACTTATTAAAAAATCTTACTTTTTCCTTCAATCTTCTTTCTTCAATTTTATGTAGCTTTTTGTTTACTTTCAAGTCAGCTAATCCAATTCCGGTCAGCTAATGCGGGCCGAAAGTCCCTATTTTAGCTCTTTGCCCAAGTATAAAAGTTAACTCTTTCTTTGAAATTTTTTTTTTTTTCGCACGTACAGTTAATATGGGCTTTATCGAATCATTCTGAAAAACATTTTTTCTCTTGACAAGTAATAAATTGGCAATTACAATTCAGTATATCAAACAATTTGTCAATTTTTGCCAAAAATCTATCTTTATTTTTTAAGCTTTCTTTTTCCCTAGAAAACCAGGTTGGCTGCATTTCATTCATTCACCAATGTTGCAGTAATATAATGTTCAATATGTGTTACAGGATATACAAATAAAGAATTGGCGTGGATCTATTTACCAATCAACTTAGAGTAAACATCGTTCATTAGTAATTTTATCGGATAATTTCTTTTGTTTCTATTGTTTTTTTTCTTGCAAAAATAGACCATATCTAAGAAGATCTCTTAGTGTTGGCAACTCCGATACAAGAATATCTGTTCCAGAACCTATATATTCCGAAAGCTTTGATCCGCTTCTTTTTCTAGTTCTTGAAGAAGCAAAGTTCATAATTTTCAAACTTTTTGCGTAAATTTTTTAATTTTAAAAACTTTTTAAAATATTTTTGACATTTAACATACAAATTATTTGTTCAACAATTTGTAGAATTCAACGTGAGTGGGTGTAAACAAATACTTGTGTATAAAAATGCGTGGTTAAGATCCAAGCTATTACGGAAAATTGACCATAAATATGTCATTTTAAAACACACTTCCCAGTAGCTTAACATAAAGTATATTTAGTTTTTTTTTTTTGGTTTTAATGTTAAAATAGTTGCACACAAGTTTTCCATATACTGGGTTTTTGGAAAACCTTTTTATTCAAAAAATCATAAAGTATGACACACCCTACCCCCACGTGACACCTACTCGCGCCAGCCCCGAGAACGACTACCACCAATTACCATCAATAACATTCATTTCGAGTATATTTATAAACTTAACAATGGTTGGGTGTCAATTTTTAATAACTTTTTTTGACAAAAATGGATTTTAGTAGATTTTAAATATGTTAGAGCCGATAAAATTTCGCTTTGAATGTTACCAAACTCACTCTTATCTAAACCTTGTTCAGGTCTGACCATAATATGACTAGAATATATGGGTAATAATGGTTTCCTTAAGCATGTAGTTAAGACCATATCATGATCCCAATCATATATTTATTTGAATATGTTTGTTTTTTTTACTTTTAGATTCAGACATTTAAAATATTTAAAACATAAATACAAGAAAACAAAATTATATGTAAATATTGATTTAGATGAGAAAGTATTTTTAAAATTATTTTAATTCAACCAGTTTTATTCAAATCATAAATTATTTTATTCAATCAGTTAGGAAATATATTTTAAGCATGAGATGGTTTTTTTATTTTGTGTTAAATTTTCAAAAGAGGCATTACATAGTTATGACTTTTTAGTGTTTTTATTTTTAAAAATCATCTTTTAACATAGATTTTACCATACCAAGAAAAAACAAACAATAAAAGAGTGTCAAGATTTTATCATTTTACTTTACATAAAATCTCACTTTACATAAAATCTCACAGAAGAGAGGAGGAGGAGAAGAGAGAAGGAGGAGGAGAAGAGAGGAGGAGGAGAAGAGAGAAGGAGGAGGAGAAGAGAGAAGGAGGAGGAGAAGAGAGGAGGAGGAGAAGAAGAGAGAAGGAGGAGGAGAAGAGAGGAGGAGGAGGAGAAGAGAGAAGGAGGAGGAAAAGAGAGGAGGAGGAGAAGAGAGAAGGAGGAAGAGAAGAGAGGAGGAGGAGAGGAGAGGAGGAGGAGAAGAGAGAAGGAGGAGGAGAGAGAAGTAGGAGGAGAAGAGAGGAGGAGGAGGAAATCATGAGCGTATATAAAAGAGAGGTTTTTACAAATGCTCATTGCAAAAGGGAAAAGGAGAGTATTATGACAAAAAAAATTTGTATTTACTGCATCCATTTGGTGCAAAAATGAATTAACTCAACGTTTATCTTTTATTGCAGCAGATAAGTTTCTTCATTTTTGTACTACTGTCTTTAAATAAGTGTCATCAACTGGTTGTTTTGCAACTCTATTTATCTTATATGCAGTAAACATACCTCAGTTGTTAATAAACATACCTCAGTTGTTAATAAACATACCTCAGTTGTTAAGAAACATACCTCAGTTGTTAAGAAACATACCTCAGTTGTTAATAATTTAAAAAGTGAATTATATCAAGAGTTATACAAACCAGATTACTTGGCGAAAGTAAAAGAATCGAGTAATTTTTTAACATTATTTTTAAGTACGTCGAAGGTTTATTGGGAATTATTTAGTACCCTATTACTTCTCAAAATCACAAAAGTCTAAAATTATAAATAAAACCACGTGGTGAGTTTTAAAATTTCAAACTTTTGAGAAAAATGTTACTAAACTGTTCTTAAGTTTTTATTTTATTTGTTAAACTAATATTTTTGTTACACTCATTTCTGACTTTTAAACAAACCTTTTAAGTTTTATTTTTGTCTTCTTCTTGTAGGGATTGCGGCAGCTTTTTTCAAAAATTAAACAAACTTTAAATTTGTGTGTTTGCGCTTACATCAAATAAAAATGTTTTGCTAAATAATGCATTGATCGGAGCCTGGGAACACCAAAACTCAAAAAGTTATGCTCCCCTCCCCCTTCCTTTCTAACTACTGTTTTTGGATAGAAATCATTTTAACATTTGTTATAGATAATATATTTGGATAAAGCATATTAAAAATTTCTATAACAATTTGAAGACGAAAAAATAATTAAAGTTGTCCAAATTGTCAACAAAACTTCCTGTTGCATCTGTCGGTAAAACTTCTTTCCATAACAACCGTCATGGTAACCTTCGTTACTAAATACATATTATGATTGCGATAAAATTAAATCAATATATATAAATTTTCACAAAGTTTACAGTCTAATATATATATATATATATATATATATATATATATATATATATATATATATATATATATATATATATATATATATATATATATATATATATATATATATATATATATATATATATATATATATATATATATATATATATATATATATATATATATATATATATATATATATATATATATATATATATATATATATATATATATATATATATAATATGAAAGGATGCAATACTAATATTAAATCTATAAATATTTTTTTGTTTAATGCATTTAAAACAATTATTTAAAACAATTAATTTTTTCTCTGGTTTGAGTTTTCTTGCTGATTGAAGTTTTCTTTCTAAACTATTTAATAACACGCATCTTGAGTTAATAATATCGACGTAAGGAATTAAAAATATAATTAATCTAAGTTAAAAAAATTCGTCAATGTTATTTTTATTATTACTATCATTAAAATATATTCAATACTAGTATTAAAATGTAATAAGTTTTTTCCCCAGCAATTATAAAGTCTACAACTTATTTTTATTATATATATATTAAAATATTTTGTTTAATAGTTATTTTTCACCAAGGAAAACTAAATTATACTTTTGAGAAAACTCTATATTGGCTTCATTAGTCATTTTTGTAACTGGTTTTCATCATTTAAAAATATCGGTACTCCACTTTAGGAAGAAAAACAAATTAGTTAAAAACAAATAATGAAAAAAATCACAAAGTAAAAAAAAAATGATAATAATTAAGAACATTTGATAAAAAAACTTTTATGAATCATCAATTTTTTGCTTGTAACATTTTTTCCCTTTTTGTTTCATGCTTTGAGTAATACGTATTGTCTTAAGCATTGTTTTTCTTTCTTTTTAACCTCAAGGAAATACTAATGATTGATTACGCAAGAGATCATTAAATCCTTGTTGTGTAATATTGAGTCAGTTAAATATGTTGACAACTTTTGATCCATTTCAAACGGGCAAATTTTTAAACAAGTAGAAACCACCTACAACCTTTCAATTTACAGTTACGTAACGCGATTGACATTGACGGTTATTGTCCAATATGTAATTATAATCTTGACAATTCTTTTTTGCGTATATAAATGAACTCTTGATAGATGAACTCTTATTTTAGCTTTCAAATTAACTAAATCGCTTCGACACGTTGACACAAAAAAATGAAAGTCTTGATTGCATTTCTCGTTTGCTCGCTGGCTTTTTCAGCCCCTATTGCAAAAGGTTAACAAATGCAGTTATTTAATTTTTTTTAATGCCACAAAAAATGTTTTTTGATCAAGAATTATGTTTTTTTTTTGTTGTTTATTTTTATAGATGAATTTGATGTCCAGAGTACACTTGACGACTTGGAAGCACGTAAGAATTAATTTTTCAAATTTAATTTAAAACTAACGTTTATAGACGCACACTTAAAGTGTTAATGTAAATCATAAGCGAAATAATAAATATTTATTAAAAAAATATTACACAACATATTTTTGTAATTTTATATTTGATCCTATTATGTTTAGTGATAATAATTATTATTCTGTACTATTATATACAACTATGTTATCAGCCATATAATTATATAAATTTTTTTTTATTTACTGCTTCTATTATGTTTTTTAGTTATTTTTATGATATTTATAGCTTTATACTTTTTTAGTATATATTTTTATAAGCTCTTACATGATATTTTTATATAAAAAACGGTTATACCTATCCAGCCGGCATTTAAAAACGTCTTTTGAACGACTATGAACGACCAAAACATCTTTTAAACGTTCAAAAGAAATTTAAAGGGTGTTACTTTAGGACCAAACGCCGGCTTGGTAGACGTAAAAACTTATAATTATTTGAAAAACATTTATATTAATAATGCTATAATTTCTGAACATTTTAATTTTCTGAATGTGTAATCTTTAGCAATGTTTGGTTAAATTTTTATTGTGCTGTTAAACGGCTCTCGTTTACAAGATCCTACGGCCTACTTCGGCCTCCAGTTCTTTCATTTTTATTTGCAACGGTATTATACCACAATACTAATAAATAACAAAGACAATACAAAAATATATATATAAAAGAGTATAAGAAGTAACTTGAAAATTTGTATTAAAAGTATTGCTCAGTTAGCCGTACGTGCTTATATTGGGGTACTTTTTTAAGTCTCAAAGAAAAAAACATTTTTTTATTGACAATTTCGGATTGTCAATCAAAAATTGATTAATAATTGCTATGCTGGGGAGGGGCGTAACACATCTACAAACCACTCAAATGTTAACTAATCTAGATTTTTGGCGCGGTCTGTATACGTAGTACTAATTTTATTTTTTAATTATTTTTTTAAATACATTTCGTCGGGGATAGTGCAAAACCGCATAACTAGCATTGGATAATACCGCGTATCTACAGTACATTTTTCTTATTGGAGAAGTTTAAAACTTTATATATATTTTTTTCTAACTGATTTTGGGTTTATTTTAGTACAAAGAGTATTACTTATGTTTTTTGTAATCTCAACAATAAAAATTAATAATATCCAAATATAGTAGCCGATGCTAGTTACGCGATTTGCGTTTATTTCCGACGATTTGCGTTTTTCAATTTTTCTGTGGTTAGGTTTTTTTGTGATATAATTTATTTGCAGTTTAATTTTTTAGTGGTTTAATTTTTTTATAGTTAGGTTTAACTATTAATTTTGTGTTTGGTTTTAGTCGGCGAAAGCAATCTTTTATCAGAAGAAAATAATGATGACGGGGTTATACCTATCGTAAATGATGAAACTCAATTAGATGCTAATTTTTATCCAGATACCACTCAAACCCCGCCCAAAGTATACAAGCTTATTCAATATGACACCCAAACATTAAACAAAAGAATTCCATTTGTTCAGGATGAGAGTTCACTTGCTGAAGATGAAATAACTCAAGAAGACGCAACCTCTCAAGATGAAGATTCAGCTGTCGAAAATGACGGTGATGAAACATTTGAAAATGAAGCCTTAGGTGCTCAAGATGATATTCATGACGCTTCAGGCGTGGAACAGGATGCTTCAGGCGCTGAAAATGATGCTTCAGGTACTGAACAAGATGCTTCAGGCGTGGAACAGGATGCTTCAGGTACTGAACAAGATGCTTTAAGCACTGAACAAGATGCCTCAGGCACTGAACAAGATGCATCAGGCACTGAACAAGATACTTCAGTTGTTCAAGGTGAAGAATTTATTCAAGAACAGACTTCTGATACTCAAGACCAAATTCAATTTGAAACTTTATTTAACGAAGATTCTCAAGAAGATATGGAATTCTCGAGAGACCAACAGTAATTTAAATTTTATAAAATGTAATATGTTTGTTACATAGAATGAAAAATGGGTTTATAAGTTATTTCTTTTATTAATATAACAATAATAACCACAATAATAACTATATTGTTATTAATAGTGATAAAAATAATAGCGTTTCAAATGGCTTATGTAGTCGTCAGTTTTGTGTAAAATAAAGGTAGTCGCTAAATTGCGAACTGTGAACCGGTAAAATGCGAGCTTTTTGCGAATCATAGGTCGAATTGGTTGTTAATGATGCGTTAAATTGTTTATTTTGCTATATATTTTATGGACTTCAAGCATAAGCATGAAATATATTTAATTTAAAAGAAATACAATCTCATTTAAATAAAATATATCAAATTCAGAATTTAAATGAAAAAATTGATGAGCAAACTTTTTTTTTAATATCATATCTGTAGTGGTCATTAAAATATGTCTTAAAATAAGCTATTAATTTTAGTTAAAAAAGGACGTCGTACTTAAAAGTTAAAAAAGCCATACTTGTAAAAATGTCGTATTTTATAAGAATATATGGGAAACTTTTTTTATTTAAAAAAAAAAAACTTGTCTTAAAAAAAAAAACATCACGCAGATTTAAAAACGTCCAATAATTTACATATGCTATAATTATTTAATTGAAAAAAAAAAGTATAAGATATATGTATAGTTACTTGTGCTTTTTTATTTATTTGTTAAAACACAATCAGGCAAAATTAGAGCGCAATTAGCTTGGATGTAATAACTAAGCAAATAAGTGGTAAATTTAAAATCAAATGTTCCATACCTAAATAAAAAATTTAATAAAAAAATTCTAGATAAAAGCGATAAAGAAAAAACATAAAAGCGATAAAACCAAAAAAATTAAAATATTTGTTTTTCGGAAACCAAAAAAAAAACGCAGAAAATTTTTCGGGTTTTGTTTTTATATAAGTTGTGTGTGATAAAAGATAAAAATTAATTCTTCAAAGTTTTTCGCGCGTTTCAAGTAACTTTTCTAAATTGTTCGTTATTAAAATATAACACATCTGACATGCGCTCTGACAAAAGTTATTTTAAATATATATCATTACGCCTAATCGATTTACTTCTAAAAACAGTTAGTTAAATAACTCGTTTGGATTTCGCGCTCTGCTGTTTTATCTTCTAAATTTCGCCTAAAATATTTAAAAAGTCTACTGACTGAATTTTGATTGTGATTAATAAATTATACTTTTAATTTCAAAAGTCTTCGTAAAGATTAGAATTAAGTACTTTACCCTCCATACAGTTATTTTTATTGCCAATAACACGATTTCTGTACCCGCGATTATTACCTCCATCATCAAGAAATAAAGTACAACAAATTGTTTTTGCAAATGACTTTAAAAACATATTTGTTAATTATGAATCTTAGGTTACCATTCTAACTCTCAATGTTAATAATTATTTTGATAAATATGTTATATATAAACTAAATATTTATCAAAAATTTAATTCCATTAAGAACTACAGATGCAAGTCTAGATTTATTTATTATGTAATAAAAATGAATTAAATAGTGAAAAATTATTTTATAACAATTTAAAAGCAGTTGAAAAAGCAGCTGGCTAGCGCGCTCGCTTCAGAAGTTAGAGATCCGTGGTTCAACGTGGGAGAGTTTTATAATATTGGTATGGAAGAGGCGTGAACTTCCTTAAAATGCTCTTCCACGGTGCTCTGTGATTAGATCGTAATTCTTGGAGACACCTAAAAATAAAAAATTACATTAAAAAATAGATCATCAATAAATGGAAACGTGAATCGACGTGTCAAAGTTTTAAACCCTTGATTTTAAGAAAAGATAAGCGAACGATAAAAGCGAAAAGATAAAAGAAGCGAGAAGATAAGCGAACGTGTATTTGAAAAAAAATCAAGTTTACTAATTTATATAAATATTATTCTTATCATTATCCAACTTTATCGTTGAAATCAATTGACTTACAAAATTTATTAAAATGACAAATAAATATTCTTTATCTCAAGTAAAAGAACTACCCGAAATGCACAAGAATACTATAATAAAAATCTTCAATGACCGAATTCAAAAAATGGAAAATGATTTGATCAGTATGAAAGACTTGAAAAAAGAACTTAATGAATCAAACAAAGCCATTGAATTTTTAAACCATCAATACAAAACACTTAGTGAATCTATGAAAACAAATAAAAATAATACACAGTCATTAAATAAGTCAAATGAAGAAAATGAAATTTTAAAGGACAAATTAGCTGAACTAGAAGATAGGAGTCGTCGTAATAATTTAAGATTTGAGGAGTTTGATGAAATAGAAGGTGAGACATGGGAAAGGAGCGAGGAATTAATGAAGAAATTCGTGAAAGAAAAACTTGATATTAAGCAGGAAGTGTATATCAAAAGAGCACATCGTACAGGGAGAAAAGATAACGGGAAAGGTATTACAAGGAGAAGAACTGTTGTGGTAAAATTTCTAAACTTCAAAGACCGCGAAATGATTCTAGAAAAATACAAAAAAATGAAACTCTGGAACGAATATGTCATTAACAAAGATTTCAGCGATAGAACTATAAATATTTGTAAGCAACTCTTCGCCGAAGCCAAAGAAATTTGTGCCACAGGTAAATACGCTAAAGTGGTTTACAATAAAATAATCACACAAGTCCTAAAAAAATATACAACTGATTTCCCCCCCCCCCTCCTCCATAATAATTAGCTACAAAAATGGCTAAATTTATTATAATAGATTTAGCCATTTTTGTAGCCAAAGAGTTGCTTACGAATAGTTCTTTCTCAGAAATCTTCGTAAATGTAGACATATTCGTTCCAGAGTTTCATTTTTTGTTTTTTGTTTCAGAGTTTCACTTTACAAAAAAATTTAAAAGTTTTTTCAAAGTTATTGTTAATATTAACAATAACTTTGAAAAAAGTTTAAATTTTTTCAAAGTAACTTATTTTAACTTAGAAGATGAATCTGACCCAGATATGAATTATTTTAACGAAATTAAAAGGCCTGAGTTTGAATGCTCTTATTTTTATCCAAATAAAATAAGAAATTATTTTAATATGGAACAAAATAGTGATTGTTTCAATGTCACCCATGTAAATATTCGGAGTCTAAAAAAAATTTTAAAAGTTTTTTAAATTTATAATGCGAAACAGAAAACCTTTTTAACTTAATTTGTTTAACGGAAAGGTGGGGTTCTAAAGAATTTTTTGATTTTAATTCTAATCTCTATCTCCCATATTTTAGCTCGGTTGTTTTAGAACGTAAAGTTAATAAGCAAGGAAGAAGAGTACTTTTTTGCATAAAAAAAAATATTCTTTATAACCTTAGACGCGAAATGAGTGTTTCTAATGAAGACAAAAAATCTAAAAACTTTCTACTAAGCTGTTGCTATTGGCCTCCTAATGAAAAAACTGAACTCTTAAGCAATTTTTTAAAACACGATTTGATAGAAAAAGTTAATCAAGAGAGAAAAAAATATTACATAATAGGGGACTTCAACTTGGACTGTTTTGTGTATAAAAACTAAAACATAAAAAATTTTACAACGACTTATTTGAAACGGGAACAAAACCTATAATAAATAAACCTACAAGAATAACAAATCATTTTTCTTAATAGATACCAAGCTGCTTAAAAAGGTTAAAACAGATGTCTCAGATAACTTGCCTATTTTTTTTTTGTATAAATGCAAACTATAAATTAAATCTTTTGAGTAAAGCAACTATAAAAAAGAGTGTATACAATAACAATAATTTGAAATCTTTCAAGGAACAAATTTCGAATCAAAACTGGAGCAATATAAACTTTAATGGTGATATAAACCTGATCTACGATTCTTTTTTTTAAACATTTAAACCCATCTACGTCGTAGACTACGACGCAAACTTCCCTATTCGTGAAATAATCCTTAACGCCAAGGACGTATCATGTCCTCGGATAACTAAAGGACTTAAAAAATCATCGAAAGTGAAACAAAAACTGTATATTAAATATCTAAAATATAAATCAGCCAATTATAAAAATAACTACTTAATTTATAAAAATAATTTCGAAAAACTCTGCAAAAATGCAAAAAGAAATTACTACTCCGACTTGTTTGCAAAGCATAAACATAATTCAAAGCGTATTAACAGGAAGGTCTGGGCACTAATGTTTGGGCTGGGCACAGTGGGCCAGCAGTGAGCAAAAATTAAAAAAATGAGCAAAACCAACCTTTAACAATTCAAAAATTTTTAATCTTTTTTGAAAGTGAGAAAAACCCGAAGAAAATGGTTGCAATACTATGTATTAGTAAATAGAAATAATTTTAAATTGATTTTATAATGCATTGTCTTTAGAATCAAAATGTTGCTTTTTAAATATTATATATATCCGATTCATAAAACTTTATGATAACATAGCAAATTAAAGTTATTATCTACATGTATATGTAAATGTATTGTAGTTTTGTAATTTAATAATACATGGTAACATATAACTAATTATTTTGCAAAGTTATTTATTTATTTACGAAAGAAGTAACAAATGGGGTCATCGGGAGCTACGTAGCCGAGTAACTAAACGTGTTATTAAAAAACATGTAAAAACATGTTGCCAATATTTTTTTAATTACTTATGGGATGATAACAAAAAAATTTTTATTAAAATTATCTGCCCCTGTGTGCCTAACAATAAGCTGTATGGTAATTTGCGAGCTTCACGAGCTATTTCAAATGTGCTTTTTAACATTTTTAATATTTTAATTGCATTTGTATAATAATTCATATATGTATGTGCAGATATGTAAGTATGTGCAGATGCTAAATTTATTTATCACGTATTATTTTATTACACTCTGAATGAAATATACATAAGTAAAAACTATAATTAAAGTTTATTTTGACTAGCTTTATCACTCACAAATGCGTATGATACCTGCATGAACGTAAAATGTGAGAGTATGTTCTATACCATTTGTGAATGGTATAAAGAAAGTTATGTAACGTCTTATCGATAACAAATTTATAAAGTAAAGCAAATTGTAAAAGTTGTGCGAATACTGTAATTAGTTTT